GAATAGAATAATGTTAGAAAGAATAATCAATCATTTGACAAATAAAAGATTGAATCATAATACTGTATTGGACACAACAAATAGCTTTGAAACAGTACCTGCAGACCAATTTGCGAAATTTAAGTCTCTATTAGATATAACTTATTAGATTTACAATATGACAAAATGATTTCAGAAAATCAAACAATGCAAAATCAGTTGGTAAGTTTTGTATTCATATTTTGCTTTACATTTCTGGCACTTGCACATTGTTACTTCTACCTAATGTTCATTTTAATTACACTCAACAGTTTTTAGTATGTCAGGTGGGACTACTTCAAAAGAAGCAATAGTAAGAGGATTGAAGCGATTGATTTCTGATAAACTGGCTCGAAAATGCTCCTTGTTAGACCAAAAAGGCAATTATGAAATTGACAAGATTCACTGTATTGCATTGTTAAAAGGTCTGCTCAACAATCTAACGTTATGGAGTATCTCAAAAATGTTGTTATTTTAATGTGACAATTGCTTGTCGGTCTTAAGTCATTATGGCTATCAGTCACATTTGTTAGATTTCATATTATATTAGTTCATTTATATTGAATTTATTTGTATTATCTTAAGATAATACAAATTACGGTTTTTTATCGCATTATCTATTTGGTTGAGTTAAGTGTGGGAATGCGTTGGGGTGTATATTTAAGTGTTTAGATAAGGTTTTTTTAGTTATGACCTTAAATAAAGAAGGAGCCTGCGAGCTCAATTCATATCAGTCATTCAGTCAGTCTTCGATTTAACACCCACCGAAACAGTACCTCTTCAATTCACGCGGAGCAAGACTCCCTATATAACTCTCGCTATATGACTAATCGCAATTTATATGTATTAAGTTTAAGTGTAATTAATAATAAAGTTTATGGAAACGTAAAACCAAGATTTTGTTGTTAACCAGCGCCCACCAGATAAAAATAAATAATCAACATTGAAAGCAAAAAAACAAAAAAAAAACGCAAACCTACCGTCTTTTTCCGAAAATAAGACATCCTCCGAAAATAAGCCCTATCGTGATTTTCGGAACTTTTTGTAAAATAAGGCATCCTCCGAAAATAAACCCTAGTTAAAATAATGTGACAAAAAGAATTCGTTAAAAAATACTGTTGATTTATTAAGTATAAGTAATAATATGTTTAGCTTTCCTTTCGTGATTCTTTTCTCTTTCTTTAAGAAACCAATTGTACAATTTTTCTTCTAAAACACACGATATATTGAATGTGCTTTAAAGTACAAAATAAGGGATTTCCCCAAGCGGCACTTGTACGCACCATCGAAGGTCCACGCTGTTCACACTACGGAACAGAGGGTATACGGCGTTCAACGTAAATAATTTCAGTCTTGTAAGTCTGATTATTTCCTCATACGTAATTTTATTTAAAAATAAAGTGAATAATTTTTAACCCCAGTTAAAATGAGTACAAAACGAAAGAGCTATTCCGTCGAGTACAAAAAGGGAATCGTGGAAGACTCCAGGGGTGTAAATCTTGTAGCATTCTGTAAAGAGAAGATGCTGGATCTCCGTATGGTTCGTAAATGGCGTGCAGACTACGATTACCTGTGTCAACTGGTGGACCAAGGAAATGAGAAAAAACGCAGAGTTGGATCAGGTCGGCAGTCGTTATTTTCTGAGTTGGAAGATTGCATCTGGGAATGGATTGCAGGCAGGAGAGCAATGGCTTTGGTTGTGCGCAGGGCTGATATTCAAAAATTTGCCCTTGAAACAGCAATTGAATTTGATATATCCACAGAAGAATTTAAAGCATCGTCACACTGGTTGGACAACTTCCTTAAACGATATGAACTGTCTCTAAGGAGATCAACAACATTGTTTAAGCTGGAAGACAATGAAGTTGTTAAGCGTGCACTTGCGTTTAAGCTTTTTGTTGATGGCATC